TACGCATATGTGTTATAGTTAGGGAATGATGAACCAAATATAAAGAGAAATGATAAATCAAAATTCGTTCCGACCGGACAGGTCGAACCCTGCCAGGGGGCGCTACCCTCTTGGACCCCCAATATATATGTCAACAGTTACTTATAAGTTTGCCCCCCCCGAAAATTATGGCCGGTTCCGCCCCTGGTGATAGTTAGCTATATTAATGTGTAACATTGATTTCTTTTGAGTAATACTATTCAATATTGTATCCATTCAACCTCGCTATTTGATAATTTAAACTAAACCTAAAGAATTAAAAAAATGTTAAATTAATTTAGTCCTACATATGAAGCACATGTGAGATAATTATTATATTCCAAAATTCAAAATTTGCTTGTGAGAATGGCATTTTAAGTCAACAATTGCTTTTCTCTCTATATTGTATTTTTTCTAATACACTCTAATTAAACATCTAAATTGAAGATTTTTTTTTCCTTTTTTACTTAATATATGTAACATTTGATGAGCTTCATTTTTAAACCTAATAGAAGTTCAATTAATTTGTTAATCATTACCACCATCAAGAAACTAAGAGGGAGTTCTTTAGGGTCACATCATTTTTTGGGTTTTAAATTTAATTCATTTTTTATTTTATATATATTTAAAAATAAATAATTCATAAGATATCAAATTGGTTGAGGTGCGTTGTGTGTGTCATCACTTTCGGATTAAAATCCTTATGAAGTGATCTTGCTAGCAAGGTTGGAGAGAGGTCATCGAGCTGCCATGAAAATACTACTCAAAATCCTCTTCTAATTGCTTTTGATGGCTTTCATCAATTCTCAGTTAAGTTGCCATCTTCGATCGAACAAATCTGATGCCAAGCAGTATGCTAAGGTGATGTCTTTGTGTGATCGTTTATGAAATATTTTCTTATCATTGATGCTTTAATGAAGTCGGTTGCAAAAGCAACTCTGATACTGTTGGACCTTATAAGGACTTTTATGAACCATGGAATTGTGAGCTGCAAACACGGCGAATTTGAAGACAAAGGCCAGGTTACTCTAGCTGCTTACTCATTTTGAGGGGTTTAATTAAGCATAGAGTTATCACCGCTACTAATATGATGAATTTGTCAGTAAAGTTACTTCATCAACACTATTCATGTTTTTGAATTTTTCCTTATTCTAAATTTGAATTCTTGATTGTTATCAATCATGTTTTATGCGAAAAAAATATAGTATAAATTTTACCATTTGAGAGAATTTTAATGAAGGAGATGAATGTGGACCGTTTAAAGACTGAGAGACATGATTCACATTTCTAATGGATTGAATGGGCCTTAGATAGTGCCATGCGGGCCCCCTATATACAATTTAGCCTGCTTTGGCTGCCGCTTGCGACTTTGCAGTCAAAAGAACTGAAATTTTCAAATTTGAAGACAATCATGCTCACGTGTTAAGGAAGAGGTTTTCTAGTTGGTGGGATCCACATGTTTCTCCTTTTTTGCTATTGCATGGCATAATGCTATTTGTTAGAAAAAAAAAAAAAAGTATTTTAAATACATAAATTTTAAAAATATTAGTATTTAGATTGAAGAAAAGGAAAGCATAATAAAATATTAAAAAAAATAATAATTTGTGTTATTAGAAGATTTGTGATGTATTTAAAATTCAGTCGATTTAGTCCAATTTTAAATGCACTGCAAGTTTGTCGTCAACCCCCAACCATCATCGTTGATGGCTGTTTGTCGCCAATTAGCTTCGCCTGTTACTATTGCCGCTGCAACTACTATCCATCCCCAACAATTAAGATCTTCATTACCTAACACCGTCCATTGCCTTCTACCACCAGCTGACATCACACCATTGTGAGTTGCGTTGCTAACCATTGTTACAAACAATTTTTAATTGGTGTGTATAATAGGGAACTTTATTGTAAGCCCCCTTTTTTTTATTGTAAGCCCCTATTTTTAATCATTTTATTTGATAAATGGGGCATATATCTAATACTTGAATCTTTTTATTTATATAACCAATATGTTTATATCACATCATAATAACCATTAATATTGACATTTAAAATAAAACACACCATTTCAAGTATGAGTTTTGATGTACTTCAGATATTAAGTGGTATGTAAGTAAATATAAAGATTTAGATGTTATATATATAATTACATAAAAAATTTGTAACATGTATGTAAACCCTCATAGATTAAGGCTTCGTTTGGAATAGCTTTCTTACTTCTTTCTAAATCAGCTTTTCAGTACAAAATTTCTTAGACTAGAATTTTTTTTACAATAAAAATGCTTTAGAAAACAGTAATAAAGCAGTCCCAAACGATGCCTAAATGATACTAAGTGTCGATTAGAAGCACAAGAATATATTGATTAAGAGGTAAAGGTGAAGAAGATAAATTGGATGACATGCTTGGAACCTTGACTTCATTTTTGACCTAATGACTCTCACAAAAATAAGAAAGACAGCCCAATTCCTTTAAAATTCTATAGTTCATTATTTGAAAACATTTATCCTATAGTGGTTGTTGATAGTTGAAAGCCTTCTAATTCATTGAATTGGCATCTTACTTCATGTGTCATGTGTCAAAGTTATCATCGTCGCATTTTTCTACATAAAATATTTATGGTCTATTTAGGGAGAAATTATTCTGTGTAGAGGCCGCACGCAGCTCAACGTCCGGAGGCAAATTAGGTGCAGCCACGTCAACAGTACTGAGTCACGGTACACAGCAAAGGCGTGACATGACGCATTCTGGTTGGC